GGCACGTTATCTGATGTCTGCCTGCAACTAACGTTATAGAAGTGTGTGAACGTAAGTGGAGACAACAGGGTTTGGGGAGGATAGGGCAGGGAGAGCTAGAGATGAAGTCATCATTTGGAAATGATAAAAAATAATATAACTTTGGTTGTCCTCACATATTTGGGGGGCGGGGGGCAGATATTAAAAGATTTTTTTTTTCTACACAACTTAAATTTTTACTGTTAAAAACCCAAAATTTAAGACCTGCATGATTCAATTTTTTCTTGAAGAAAGAGGTTAACTGGAGAATTAGTAACTGTGATTAAAAACGTAGCAAGCAAGGGAAACTGTATTTAAAGAAGGGAGGAAGCAGTCTTTAATGAGACTTTAAGATTACTTTCTCTCAGCATTCACTTCATAGAAAACTTTGAAGAAAAAATTGCAGGGGAATAAAAGTCCCATAAAAAATTTAGGCTCTCAAGTTGTTTCATCGAGAGGCTGGAAGAATTCCCAACTTATGTCAGACACAGTTCTTCTGAGAAGGGGGAAAAACAGCCCATTGTTTGTTCCCAGCATAAAAAGTAACAATTTTTAAAGTAGTTTTTAAGATTTCACTATAAAAAGAAAGTTTATAAAAAGGCGCAGTCTGTTTCTTCGCTATCCCAGTCCTAAAAGTAAAACTTTGTTGTTTTTCTTAAACTTTTCCTTTAGAGGCACACTGTGCTGCTGTTACTTTCATGCATTTTGTTAGTGTAGCCATTATGCGATAGCCATATTATAACATATAATTTGTATTTTTTTTTTAAACCTTTGGTGTTTGTCTTTATTTTTAATCTCGGTCTGCTTGACAGTGAAACCGCAGTGAGTAAATGGTCAAATACTCAAAGTGCATCTTTCACAGGTGAGCCTTTGTTTACCATGGACAGAAGGGGTGTCTGTTTGAACAGGTACTGAGCTCAGGCTATCTGTTGGAGGCTTTCCTTACCATACTAGCATCAGAAATATTTTGCACTTCCGGCTCAATCATGAGTTTTAAAAATCCTGGAAAAAGTCAAGCAAGATTCAGTCTTGCCAAGTGTATTACTCTGACATCAGTATTTGGTTTCTCCACTGATGGGTTGTCCATTCAAACCAGCAATGCTCTTGCAACACCTAAGTCAAAACTCAAGTGTGATGTCTAAGACATGTAGGGTACAAGTTAGTTCAGTATCAGCTATTTAGTTGAAGTGTATGCAACACATGAATGTCTCCCAGGCTTGCCTGTATTAGAGAGTGGAGGACTTGCACGTTTGAGCAGACCTCTCACATGTCTCGTGGAGTAAGTTAGGATTTCAAGCAGTCATCTCATCTTTTCTCTTGTCCAAGGCAGGATCAACTCTGTTGGTGTCCTTTCTGACAGACGTTTGTCTGACCTGTTCATAAAGACTTCAGAGGCTCTTCAGGCAGTCTGCTTCCCTTTTCTGAGGTTTAGGACTAACTGCCATGCCCTAAAATATTTCTGTAATCTGCTCTGTGAGGTTGTGTTTAGCAGCAGTATCATATCCTTCTGATCAGTATGATGCCAGAGTCTTCTCTCTTAAAGCAACTCCTGCACTGTGTTTTCCTCATCTGAAAACACCTTTCCTGGGAAGAGAGAATAGGGTGGACCGTTTTATTTGGCCCCTCTGGACTTTTCCTGTTGTCTGTGCCATCTTATAAAACTTGATTATTTTAGTAGGTTTTGTTGTGAGCCATCTTATAAAACTTGATTATTTTAGTAGGTTTTGTTGTGACTCGGATAGCAGCAGAAATTTAGACCACTGACGCCATGCCATACATTACTCCACAAAGACAAGTAATTCTTACCTTAAGTTTGTTTCCAGAGTGGTTTGGGTTTTTTTCTTTCGTTTTAGTGGTGGTGTTTCGTTGTGGTTTGGTTGTGGTTTTTTTTTTTAATCATCCACTCTTTTCTCAATCTCTGTAAAGGGGAGCAGATTTCAAGCCACACCTTATCTTTAGTTCTGGAAAAACTCATAATATCTCCAAACTATACATGTCTTGGCTACTAGGATTAAGAATAGTATTACATGGGTAGTCTTTGATTTGGATGTCTCTGCTCGGCTGAGAAAATGAAATTAGACTCTCTTCAGGTTAAAGCTTGCTGATCCAGAATTTAGGTGGCCTCTTAGCTCCTCTTGTGAAGCACTCTGTAACACCTGAAGTTTGGCTTGTGTTACAGCTTCAGGGTCGAGTGATTGCCTTGCTCTTCTCCTTTGCTTAAATCGCTCATCTTGTGTTGCAAGTCAGATGACTTGTGCAGACAGATGGCTTGAAACAGACAGGTTATTACAATGATAGTCCTTCTATATGTAGTGCATATGGATTCTGTGAGCTGCCATCCTCTCCTGCTATTTTCATGTCCTTTGCCACCTGGATTCTCAGTTGACTGAGGCACAACTAGGCATGCACAAAGGGTTTTTTCTTCTTTCTTGACATACACAAACCCCACCTCAGTTACAGAAGAACAGACGCTGCTTCTGAAAGAAATCTGATTTGTTGTGTGTAAGCATATATGTGCCCCAGAAGAGGAATTAATATAGCCAGTATAATTAATGTTGAGTAAGTAATTGTTTGCTCTTGGGCTTGATTTGGCATGATTTGTGCTGGTACAATACGGTGTTCTAATAGGCTTTCTTCTACTGCCCACATTCCTAATGCTTTTTAAAAATTGTTTGTTTGTCTTTTTTAAATAGTTGTTTAAAATAATGCTTTAGGTTTTGTAGGTTGTGAAAAGACCTTTGAAAATGCGGACTCAGTGCACATCAATACTGGAAGGACTATCTCAGATTAGAGAGGGACTAAAAACGGTATTCTGAGAGATGCTCAAATTCCTGTTCAAGTTAAAAAAAGTAGCTCAGTTATCTAATCAAGATAGCTTTGAGAATATTAGTCTTCCTACCTGTTTCACCCCTCTCTGAAGAAGTATGGAATTGATCTCGCATCCTACGAGCTATTGAGAGTGACTGTTCACTTTTGCACTGCTTATGTCAATTAGGGAAAAATACTGCTGTGTCCCATCCTTTCAGGTCAGTGTTTAAATTCCAGCCTGGAAATCGTTGTGAAATGTTACTAAAAAACATGGTGGAATGCAGCAAGGTATTCATATTTCCCGTGGAGTCACCTGAATACCTACAGAAACCCTGTTTAGAACTGGGTATGCAGTCAGAGACTGATTTATTTAGCTCTGTTATTTAAGGTTTGTAGAGAGAGGTTTGGGGATTTTGCTTTTAATTTGTGCACCTGAGTAGGTTCTAAAGCTCAGAGCTTTCACAGAGTTAGATAGTAAAGACTATGTCTCATTCTCTTGTAGTTACTCGTTTATTCAGATTTAATGATCCAAATGAAGTATTTACTTAACAAGTACATTATTTAAAACGTATTGGATATTTACACATTTACTCACTTTAAAGTGTTCTTAAGTGTTACTTCTTTAATAATGACTTTTTAATGCTGTTGTATTTAATTCCCTAGCTACCTTTCTCTTTAAAAACATGGATGAAAGTAAAGCAGGCAAGCGGACAGTAGCTTTGTAATACCTCTGCAAAGGTATATGTGAGGAAGGCTTACTCATAGCTTCTACTTTTAGGCTGCCTTTGGGAAATCAAATCTTAGAAAGCCGAGTTGGAAGCTGACGTTCCATACATGTCAAGTGTTGGGTATTTCTAATTGCTCCCTGGAGACACCTAAATTAGATGCCTGAAATGGTCTCCATGAATATACCCCATGCTACGTCCCTGTTCTGTGTCTGCCAGCCTTTCAGTGCGAGGGATCAGATATTTCTTCACGGTGGTGTGACAAAGGATCATGTTCCTGCCAAGTTTCTTTAGAATCTAACAAACTGAGGAAACTAAGTAAAGCATTTAGCTGTAAAATTCATGAAAACAAGTAAATTCATATTTTTTATAAAAACGTATAAATTATACTACCTGTGCATACAAATACTGTTGACTGGTGTTCTTGTAGGAATTCCACTTATTCGCAGTAGGTTGTTTTGTCCCTAATGTATTGCTTGGTGGTTTTCTGCTAGAAACTGTTGTGTATCCTGCAGAAATCTACAGGCTTGTTGTTAATACGTTATGAAACTTATTCCCATTTTCAAGCACATACAGATTACAAAGTCCTAACAAAGCGATGAATGTTGTAAGTGTGATGGGCAGCTATATATGATGTGCATCCCAGACTACGTTATTTTTTGCACTGTGTATATTTCCAACTACAAAACAAGATATGGCTGCAGACAGTGCAGAAGAGTCTTTTTTGTATCTCAGAAACACAAACAAAAATCCATGAAGTTTCCCGTGCTGTGGAACGGAACAGCCACCTACTTTACGTTTTGTAAGATGCACCTGATGTTCCAGTCCCGTTTAGGCTGAGCGATGCGCAGTCCTTCCTGAAAAGAGCGGCCATGTTAAATGGCAGGAACATGACCGTAAAATACACATTATATCTGTTTCAGCCTGCATGCAAGTAGTGACAGGCGCTCAATGGTTGTCAGCATCCTTGTCAGCACGGAGGCTCCTTTGACATTAAAGTCACCAGCTCGGTCCTGATGCTGCGCAGCTCTATTGGCAGTTCCATCAGGCTGCAGCCCATCAACGAATGTCAGAGCTTCCGCTGTTCCTCTGGTACGTCGCCAGCCCTCTGTGTTTTCGGGCTGGCCTTGCCTGTTGTTTGAACTTGCCACGCTTCTTCAGCAGCTTCCCTGTGGGAAATGAGCGGATAGGTCATGGGTGTGTAGGTATCTTCAGGGCAATGCAAAACCACATCCAAAGTGACTTGCATAAAGGTTTGTAACGATTACCGTTGCTTTAAGCCAATCAATGGGTAGGGTACCCAGGGACTCATTAAGTGGCATTTGTGGTGTCTTTTACAGAGTTTTGAGCTGTATTTCAGGAAATGCGGTGACAGCCTTTAATGTCTAATTGACCTCTTCTCTTTGTTTCACTTTCCATATTTCCTTCTGATGTGTTCCCCCGTGGCAGCAAACAGCCCTGCTCAGTATTCTGAACTTCTGCTCGGAGCTGCAGCACCTCAGCCTGGGCAGCTGCGTCATGGTGAGTACTTACACCACGTTGTGGGGTGGTGGTGGGGTGTGCGTGTGTGCACAGACAATTGCTTTGGAACTCAGTCTGGGTTGTGTTTCACAAAGATGTGTTAAATGCTAGGTTGATATTACGCTCTCTTGAAAGGTCCAAGATGAATGCAGCTTGGTCATATACTTAAGGGTTATCTACTGATTTAGTAGGCCTAAAACATAGCATGTAGGCTTTCTCATAGTCCTTCAGCCACTTCCTAAATTTTTGGGTATTCTTTATATGTGTAATCCCTTTTTCTTTCCAAAACTAGTAGTCAAGACTTACTTATTTTTATTCAGACCAAATTATCATTCCTAGCAGATTAACACATTTGTGTGACCCGGCAGTAGTAACCACGAGATAAATATGTTCAGCAAAAGCTGTTTGAGTCATAGAGTTGCTGGGTGCACACATTGATTTAAAGAAAGAGAGTACAGAGATAGCAATTACTATGTGAGCTAAGTTGCATGTGTGTGCCAGAGGTGTATGTAGTGGGATTCTGGCTTGCTGCTGTGGCAGACGCGCCAGATAACTCTTCGAGAAGACTTAGCTGATCTTCCTTGTAGTTCAGGAAGCAAATGACAACACAGAATTGGCTCCATCTTCCCTGCTTAGACTCATGGACAGAAGAGGAAGGCAGCGTGACTGCATTTTTTCCAACAGTCCTTGTCTGCCTATGGTTTTTGATAGTGGATTTCATTCCTCTGCCTGTATAGTGGGACCCTGTTTCAGTCCCTTTAGCTTGCCCACGGTAACTAAGACAACTTCCATAACGAGATGCAGCAACTGACCAACCTAGAATGGAAGTAAGCACGTTCTTCAATCTGCATGTGCTTATGGCTGTAGTGCCTGTGGTCATAAAAACAATTTTAATTGTCTTTTAAAGGAAAAACAACTGTGAAAAAAAAAAAGGCTTTTCAAAGAGAATAAACTTTTCACTACATTTTCAGCAATCTTTAGTATTAAGTGAATTTAAAAGCACCTGTCTGGAGGTTGGTAGGAAATTTATTTTACTTTTGTCTTTTGTAAAAGTAGACCTCACTGTACTCTACAATTAATACTTTTCAGAACTCTTTAGAAATGACAAATGCTTAAGACCGATATGTAGGTGTGTTAGCAAGCAAATCTTAAAACACCTATGTATGTCTGGACAGATGGTATACATTGGACAAAATGTTTGCTTTCCTTGCAGATCGAAGACTATGATCTTATAGCAAGCATGATGGGCGCAAAATGCAAAAAGCTTCGCAGTCTGGATTTGTGGAGATGTAAAAACATAACTGAGAGTGGAATAGCAGAATTGGCTTCAGGCTGCCAGCTTTTGGAAGAACTTGATCTTGGCTGGTGCCCTATGTTACAGAGCAGTACAGGCTGTTTCACAAACCTTGCACGTAAACTCCCGAACTTGCAAAAGCTCTTTCTGACGGCCAACAGATCTGTGTGTGACACGGACATTGAGGAGCTTGCTGCTAACTGTACGCGTTTACGACAGCTGGATATATTGGGTAAGAAAATGTAGGACTGTTGGTATTTATCTTATTGTATCTCAAAAGCCTTGCAATTAAAAAGGAGTGCTTAAGACAAAACTCTTCTAGGCATATTTTTAAATAAATATTTCTTAAAATGATGGCTAACATATGAAAAAACCCAGAGGGACGTTTTACTCACTGCAGTGAGTTTCTGACTCAGAATCCAGTGGATTTATACCAACCATGTAATTTGAGTGCTTAGTATGAATTGCTTAAACTGTGATTTAAGTGCAGGATTTTTCCAATAACTTGTAGTTTCATCACCATTAGTTGTTTTTTTTTTTAACTGAAATCTTTCTCTTTTGACTGTCAGAAGATCCAATTTTTTTCCTTCTTTCTGCTTTTGTTTGTTTTATTTCTGTGAAGTGTGACAAAGTATATTTATAGTGTGAGTCTGTGATCAATAAACAGATACACGTGCTTTTGCGCAGTACAGATACACCAAGCAATATTGAATTTCTTTGTCACTTTTACCAGGAAGGGAATTTGACTCATTAAAGAGGAAAAGGAACTAACAACAAAATTTAAAGTGGACTTTGTAGTAAGGTGGGAAGGAAGTGATGAGGGGCAAAAGGCACAGCAAATCTTAAATTTGTTATCCTCTGCAGTTTCTATAGTTAAAAATATTTTTAGAAATCATAGATAAGTATACCTTAGACTCTTGAGTAAGGACTTTGAGAAATGTAGTTTTGCATGACACTGAATTTATTTTTTTTAGGTGGAATATGAGGTTTTCTTTTTAAAATAATGTAGGATAGCAGGGATATTTGTGACATCAATGTGGGAGAATTTCTTCATGCTTTTACTACTTATTTTCATAGGGTTAGTTGAATGAAAGGGAATAAAGTAACTGCATTGTGCATTTTTAGTATTTAATAATTTTAGTGAAAATGTTACATTTAGGTTGAGAGAGGTGCTGGAAAGAACTGAGAGACCTCAACTCTAATAATGTTCCATGCAAGTTTAAGGCTATCAACATTTCTGATTACAAAAAAAATATCGTATGGCTTCAGATTGTCACTCCAGTGTAGTTAGTACACTCTTCTATCATGAAATGTGGTTTTACTCTTCTCTGACTGAGAAAGTTGTCTTCCAACCAACATGGGAAAGGAGGATGAACAGATAAAAACTTAACTTTATGTAGTACAAATTGTAAAGGTTTGATGTATACATATGTCCACAGGAGGTAATGTGTTTTGTGCATCCTTGAGGGAATCTGTTTTGTAGCAAGATTATCAAGGGCACATTTCCCTATTCAGACATGAAAAATTTCCAAGTGACATAACGAATGAAGTCCTTCATAAACACGGATGTTCTCCTGACCACTCACTTCCATACGTTTCTATTAGAATGGCATCATGTCTGCCCACAAAGTGATCTGACCTTTTCACTGCACCAGAGGCTGCCCAGTGAATAGTTCAGCTGTTTTAAGCCTACGATAGTCTACTACTTCTGTTGCCTCTCTACCAGCAGTGAAGGTTTGTTGCCATGCTTCTTTGGCATTTGAATTCATGTTTTAATTCAGTTTGACATCTTTATGATGTTTTAGTGGAAAAATAGTGCGTGAAGGTGGAAAAGGAATTTGTTCTGTTCGCTGTGTGCTTATTAGTATTCCTAAGTCAAGTGGATTTGTAGTCCGCTTTTCCCAGTGAGACTGCATGTTGGGTTCAGATAAATGCTCTTCAGGGGCTATCCAGTTGGATTATCTTCAAGATGTTACCAAAAACCTTAATGTCCACCTTTCAGACTATGCTTTCTTCCTTCAGAGACTAGAGTGGAAAAAAGGTTATCTTCTGCTGTAAACAAGGCAGTACAAGGTGATACGATATATGTGAAGGAGTTAGCCAACTTTTTTGGCAACAGCAAGGAAACTGTTCGTTTCTTTGTCTGAATATGAGAACCGTTGCAGTCTGAGGTTAAAAGGAAGAGTTGTCAAGTAGAACCACATCAAGTCATCTGGAGGTATTGTTGCCAGGTGTTCAAATGTAAATGCAGAAGTCCCTGTTGTCTGAACTGAAGAGCTAGTCTCTCGCCGTGCAGGAGTACCAAGAAAGTCAGAAATCTCTATGTGCTCAAACTTTTGGTGGCTGATGCAGGGCCATCCTGTTACTATAAGCTGTGTAAATGCTTAGTATATTTTTTGTTCTTTTGAAGAGATGTGACAGCAGCTCTGAAGCTGTTAGAGGCCTGGGGTCAGCCCTCAGCTTTGCAGCCTTGAACAGTGGCTCTTCTCTGTGATGTGAATGAATGAGAGGTGCTCTCATTATATCCTTTGTCATCTCCCAAGTCCAGAAACGTCTGACTTGTCATGCATTGTGAAGGGTGTAGAGGTACTGCTTTGAGGTTAGCGGTGCCTGCTGTAAGGAAACTTCTTTTGCTTCAACAAAGCTGTATAAAAGCTTGAGGTTTTTTGCTATATACAGGCACTTACCTAAGTAGGGATCAGAATGTCTTACCTTGCACTGTAGTCAGCAGCGTTGACAATACTATACTGGTTTCTCTCTGCAGTTGTTAGAAGTTATGAACTTGCCAGAGAAAACGTCTTGTTTCAGTTATAGATTATTTATCACCACAGTAGCTTCAGGACTGAAAGAGTCCAAGCCTCTGAAAGAAATCTTTTTGAACTGTGTGTCATTCATTTAAGTGTTACAAAATGGATGTTATATATACCCTGGATGCTGGTTTTATGTGGTAGGTTCTGCGACTTGCTACCTATCCGTCGTTTCCTTGGTCTCTCCATTATTGTTTGACAATTCCCTTGTTACAGCATCAGAGGACTCTGTAGAAGATGAAAATTGCCAGTTTTCAACGGCTCCATAAAATTATTGGCCCATGTAAAGCATTGTTTGATGAGTGGCTGTGTTTGTGGTGTGTGAAACATACTTCAGAAAGTAAATTTCTGTTTAAAAATACAAATCAGGAGTTGGATGCATATCTGCTGTATTATAATGCAATTTGGAAGAGGAAGCATGATGTAAGTGTGTCACTGAGTGCAGGAGAGTGTGCTTCTTGAAGTTTTGGTTCTGAGCATTCTTTCACCTGTTACATACTGAGCTACCTGCTTACAAGTATCACTTCCTTCTCTGCCCGCATCCTTTCCACTGACTGATGTGGCTGGTGGGTTTCCACCTTGTAGTAGAATGATCCGGCTGGGATCATCTGACGGTTTTGTAGTGATGGAGTACATCATGCAGTGCTATCAAAAGTTAAGTGGACACCTCTAGACCTATAGTTAAGAACTAGTCTTTGAGCTGTGATCAGCGTTGAGCAATGTGGTGAGTCAGATGACAACCTGAATTGGCAGTGCCGCAAACTTTTCTTGTACATCGTACCAGCTGCTTAGTTATGTTGCTGTGGAGCTACGAAGAGTAAGTCATCTTACCTCACTTCCCAAAAGTCCTGACTGCCTCTGTCCTGCGCAAAAAGAGTAACGAAAAGTAGACACCCTTGTTACCGCAAAATTCATGTATTCCTATCTACATACCAACACCTCCCACACCTTCCTGAGCAACAGAAAACCCAACTGCCCCCTTGCCAGCTGTCAAAATTTTCAGCTTTATCTTGAGAGCATCAACACATAGTTAGTCAATTCAAACATGAAAATGTGTAGAACGTTAAAATTTAGAATTTGAGTTGTGTGCGATAGATTGAATAAAATGTAAAGAATAAAAGGCTAGTCTGGCTTGTCTAGGGGATGAAAGAAAAAGTAAGAATGTTTGAGGGAATAGTGCTAGTTATTTTCAGGGTCTCTACTCTTAAATATTATTTGGTGTGTAGTAGTATCCCTTGCCCTAGAAACTGGGGCTGTTTTTATAGCCATCATACACAAGTCTCCTGAACAGCTCTAGAATTTGAAGACTTGGTTATATGATAGATATGACTGAAATAATTTACATCTAATAAAAATAGTTATTCTAGCAAAGAAATCATTACTTTGAAGTGCCCTTTACAAAGGCAGTAACAGAATGCTTGCAGGGAATAAACCGAACAACAAATTTAAATAGCAGATTTTGATATACCAGTTGTGTATTTATTCTGAGAAATGGCCAATTAGTCCATGTAGGAAAAGTTGTAGTAAGTAACAAAGCCTCCTAACTCTAGAAAAATACACTGTGTAGCTAACTAGCATCTTACAACAGCCTTCCAGTACTTGAAGAGGGCCTACAAGAAAGCTGGAGAGGGACTTTTTACAAGGGTGTGTAGTGGTAGGACAAGGGGCAATGGCTTTAAACTGAAAAAGAGTAGATTTAGATTAGATATAAGGAAGAAATTTCTTATGGTGTGGGTGGTGAGGCAGTGGAACAGGTTGCCCAGAGAAGTTGTGGATGCCCCATCCCTGGAAGTGTTCAAGGCCAGGTTGGATGAGGCTTTGAGCAACCTGGTCTAGTGGAGGGGGTCCCTTCCCGTGGCAGGGGGGTTGGAACTAGATGAACTTTAAGGTCCCTTCCAACCCTAACCAGTCTATGATACATTGTCAGCCTTTCAAAGGCAAACGGAAATGTGCTATATTACACTTCTGAAATGCTTTTTATTATACTTTTAAGAAATATGTATCACTAATTGTACATCGCGTAAATAAAAGTAAGGCTGTGGATGATGTTTGCTTATCCCCTGGTTTGAATAACCAAACCCCAACTAGATTATTGGCTTTTTTATCTTTTAGAAAAAGATATTTCTTAACATAAAATTTAAGTCTGAGGAGGAAAAAAGAAACAAGTGCAGTAAAGCATGTAATTTAGGTTGGCCTGTTTAGTTACAAATCCATTAGCAATCTTAGTCTTAGATGAAACGGTAGGAGAACTGTCAAAGTTCAGGTAGGAAGGAATGAAGAACATCCTACACAAAAAAATCTGTGACTAGGCATCTAGATCTAGTATTTTTGTAGAAACGCACATTTGGATCTTGAAGCTTAAAAGCTGTGATGTGTAAACGAGACTGGTTTTAAATAAAGGTGCTGAGGCAGTAGCAATTTTAAGGCTTGGTGGAAAAAACATGAGTAACATAATGTGATGTTCCTGGAGTTTCGATTGGAATGGTAGAGCAGATCCTGCTGGTAGGACAGTGGTGTTATGGTCAAGTGAAGTAAATAACTAAAGCCTTCTACAGAATTTCTGTGTGTGGCCATAGGGACTGTTTACATCAGCCACCAGATGGTTGTGGTGACAGTGATCGTATAAAGATAAAAGAGTTAAAAATCACTATAATAATAATGACAAGCTTTTGATTACCTCCTCGTAGATGAGGTAAAATTTGGGAGCATGATAGCAAAGGCTGTTTTCAGGTGATGTTAAATGATATCTCAAAGCAACTAATCCGAGAGCCTACCATAGAAGTGAAGACCATGCTTAGATAGCCTTTACTTACACAGAAGAGTACAGGAGACTACTAAAACCAGAGGCATCTTTCTGGAAATGAATCCTGTTCAGAGAAGAAAAATAGGAAGATGAACTCTAGGAAGCGAAACAAAATCACAGTGAGGCAGAATGAGATACTAAGGGAAGTATTGGCTAAAAGTAAATGCTAAAACTGTATTTCAGATATGTTAGAAGTAGTTTATAGGAGGGTTACTGAGGTTGGTAGATACTCCAGATGTGAAGAGTCGGATACGAGAAGGCCATTGCAGGATAACGGTTGTGTGTGACTCCGGATGTGAAGAGTCACTCGGATACAAGAAGGCCATTGCAGGATAACGGTTGTGTGTGCCTTAGCGTTCATGGCAAGGGGCATCAAGTAGGCTGCTACATCAGAGCCATTCTTTCCGGGAGATTAGCCTGGAAAGCTGCCTTAAACTGGAATGCCAATACAGAAAGCTTTTGAACAAATCAATACATTGAACAATAATAAATTGTTAAGACTTAATGGTATTTATGCAGCAGTTCTAAATGAGCTCAAGTACAGGGCTGTGGAAATCTTAATCTGTTGTGTGATCTGTCACTTAAATCAGCCTCAGCACTAGAGGAATGAAGGGTTACGAATGCACCACAGATCTTCTGTAGAGGACGCAGGATAGAAGCTACAAAGCAGTAAGATTTTCTTTTACTGTGTGTAGAACAGTTGCAATGGTAAGAGAGAAGGAGTCAGTGGACATGAAGGCCATTGTATTTTGAAGGAGAGCTGCAACTCCGCGAGGATAGTTGTGCCTCTCCAATCCTGTAGAATTCCTTAGAGTTCTTGGTGAAGGTGAGCACTGAATCCAGACCATAGATTGGATTTACTAAAGCTTTAGCCAAGGTTGTTCTGCTTTTGTAACTTAGCTGTCTTCTGGATTGTAAGGAGTGTTTCAGAGTTAGACAACAGAGGACACGTAGACAACGTATCACCTCTTCACAATTAAGTTACGCACTGCTGTGATTATCAACGGTCTGTGCTGATCTGTTTATAAGCAATTGAGGCAAAGGAGTGAATAATGCCAGAAGGGAATGCACAGATACTCAGGGTAGAAAAATCTTAAACTGAAGAACTGAACACTGAAAAATTGCAGAATGATCTTATGATACTTAGTAAACAGGTGATAAAGCAGGAGGAAAACTGTTGCATGAAGTGCAAAGTAATCCCATGAGACAAAATAACACTAAGCATATGGGGTTTGGCTTTGTATTAATTACTGTTTTGTAGGAAAGAACTCCTGTGGACAATTTTTAGAAAACATCAGCTCATTGCTCAGCAGCATTCTAACAGACAAACAGAAGGTTAGGATTTCTTAGGAAAGAAATTGAGAAAACACCATAAGACATCATTATACAGTTACTGACTGCTCAGTGCCCTGTATAGTTCTGGTCATCCAATTTCAAAAGTGCTAAGTGAGCGCAGACACAAGACAACAGGGGTCATCTGAGATACAAGAGAGTCTGGAAAACAGGCAGCCTTGAGGGAACAGAAGAGATATCCATAGGGTTATGAATGATGTGGAAATAGTGGACTGGGAATTATCTCCCACTACTTCTTTATGATTCATTGCCCCTTATTTATTGCAATTAATAGGCAGTGGGTTTAAGGCGGGTTTTTTCTTTTTTTTTTTTAAACATTATATAGTTAAACTGTAGAAGTCATGTGAAGAGGCTGTAAGTATAAAGAAGTTCAGAAAAGTAGTAGCATTCATGAAAGGTAGCTTCAGAAATCCTTAAAATGATAATTTTTGGCAGTTGAGAGGATCCACCAGTGAAAAGCTGCTTTAAAAATCTGCTTTTGATTTTTTTTATTTTTTTTTTTCGGTAGGAGGGGAAAGCGTTATTGGCCCTGGCTGTAGACAAAGATCCTGGACTAGATGGCTTTTTGGGGTGCAGTTCAGCTCAACAGAGGGCTGTGCAAGTTGAAGTATCTGCCAGCAGGTGTCTGCAGCCAGGTTGGATGTAGAAACTTTTTAGAGCCAGGAGAGCTTGATGAGCAGTTTAGCCCACTGTAGACATCCAGGCTTGGGTCACTTGCTCAGAGTAACCCGCCTGGCTTCCAGCCATTCCAGTAAGGTATGGATTTCCTCCTCTGGGTCCAGCGTCCTGTCCATCAGCTCTGTGTGGATGTCCTACATGGTGTAAGGAAGCCCAAGGGGCACTAAGCACTTCAAGGCAACTGAATTCCTATGTCAGTGCCCATTCAGCCCAGTCACATGCTGAGCACCATTGACTGTACTGACTATATTTCCATCAGCTATAATGGGTGTGTGGATGCGTGCTTATAAACACCTATTTATTTGATTTCTGACTCCATCCCACGCTTGATCTGAGCCTGTGTGACACTTAGGAGTTCAGTCGCTGTGGTCATGTTTTTAGCAGGGGTAAATAGTGTGGTTTATGTTACTGTTAGTGTATACATAGATATGATTGGTAGCCTTTTGAACAACTGCCCCTGCGTGTGCGTAATACCCATGCTCGTTCCAGAGTTCTAGAAGCCTTGCTGATTGATTTGGAATTGGAATAGCCCATAGGAGCTCGTGTGCTGTGCTGGTCATTGCGGTCAGCAGGAGAGTCATGAGAGCACGAGTGTAGCGTACTGTGTCGCTTGTTGCCAAAGCCTGTCGTCTGGTTCCCTGGGAGGTCTTGTAGCTGTGGGTACCAAGGGTCAGCTTCTGTAGTTGGAAATTCCTGTCGAAGCTGTAAAGTTACTCCCTGATTGATGGAGTTGGTTAACAGTTGGGTTAGGAAAGCACAACAGGCTTTTTAAAGGCAAAAATTCTGCACTGTCTTAGAGAAACTTCTAATTTTAAATAAATTGAAATAATGTAAATAAAAATTGCATTATGGTAGCATTTGTTTTCATGACACGGTATTAGCAGCTTTAAAAAAATAGGCCGTTCTCCATAACCTGACAAATCTTTTTTTTGTTTCTTTGTTTTTGAACAGGGACGAGGATGGTGAGCCCTGCATCTTTAAGAAAATTGCTGGAGTCTTGTAAAGATCTTTCTTTACTCGATGTGTCCTTCTGTTCGCAGATTGATAATAGAGTTGTCCTAGAACTGAATGCCAACTTTCCTAATGTGTTCATAAAAAAGAGTTTCACCCAGTAACTCACTACGTATGCTGCTGTGGAATTCATTTGACAGAGTTGTTTCCTGTGAATTTGCGCCGAGTTTTTTTAAAGAAGAATGTAAATCTCTTATGAAATAGCGGAAAGTATTAATTATCTACACAAATGGGTAAAATACATTTAAATATATGATGCATTTCTTAGAGTTGATATTGTACCTAAGAATTGTTTTACACTATGTTAATTGATGGCACTGCATGTTTTTAAATACCAGCCATGTGTGTGGCTTTAATAAGAAGAAAATGAATAACGTCTTCTTACGTGTCCCTTTATAGGGTGTTACACACAATAAACTTTGTTAATATCCAGGTGGAAGCAGAAGTTCAATATTTAGCAGTAAGATGTGTGCTTCCTTTTTATGTATATGTGTTTGTGTGTGTGTATATAAATGTATACAGATGTATTTGTATATACATAACACAGATACTGTAGCATTCTAGTTTGGCTCGCAGCACAAGATGTTGTGCTCTGGCCTATAATTAGTTGTTTGAAAACCTATTTAAGCTTGTATATGAATGGATTGAAAAGGCACTTTGTCTTCTTCATTTTCTTGGCAATGAATTGTATCTGATACATTTTTCTCCCTTCTTCCACCTGAAATAGATGTAGTGATGTTTTACGGTCCAACCTAAGTGACACAACAGATAAATGCAAGAACCTTCTGCCTGAACTTAGAGCAGAAACGAAAGAGAAAATTGCCAGCTGCTTCTCGATATTGGAAGTAAAGTTTGAGCCAGGTACTTAGTATCATAACTGGTAATGTATAGAAACGCCAGAGTAGTTTTCTTTTCAAATTTCTGTCATGATGAAGACTTGATTTGTGATACATCTGGGTATCACGCAAAGTACCATAAAAAGTAGAACTTACGGTAATGCATTAGCAACTGTCCCTTACACTGACATCAAATCTACTGTCAGGTGTAAAAACAAACATTTTGTTCAATAAAACAGCAATGAAAAGATAGTGAGTTTGAAACAAGGGCAATATGATTCAGTGATTTAATAATCACCAAACCTTAGTATTGGATTTGTTTTGGTTTTGTGGATTTTTTTTTTTTTCCCAAGAGATGATTGCTCAAAGTACTATTGCACTCTGTCTCTCTCTTTAACACTGTTTAGCCTCTGGAGAAGGAAAACTGTGTCAATGGACAAATTCTAGAGGTTTCTTTCTTTTGCACTTCCTTGGATGAAGTTTTTATCTTTTTTTTTTTTCTTGAATGCCACTACTAGAGTATGTTGCTCTGTACAGCTCGAGTTTAGAATTTTACCTTTTTAGCCACTGTTGATGAATACAGACCATGAAATACAGCCTGTCATTTGCTATTGACTCCACTATTCTTGTATCCATGGCACTTACTACCTACTGGAATAAAAAGGAAAATATTTTGTCTGGCAGAAGTACATTATCACACCGAAGATCACTGGCAAAGAATACTTCAGTTTATGCAGTAAGTAACCAACCGCTCCTAGAGGACTGCCACGAATCATTCAAGATTTGACGATCTCTGTGACTCCTGAATGAACGCTTTGAACTCTTTGTGCTGGTGCCAATACTTTATAAACCATGTCATGAAACAGCTACAGAACATTTATCTCATTTTATAAAAAGACCTTTTTTCTTCAAATGTTTAAATTTTACAGAATCTTTTGGGAATTCCAGATCCAAAGAAGGGTGTGCACAGTTGGCTTTTTAATTTTTCCTCCACACAGATGGCACTATGGGATTTCCAACTAGATTATGCCATTCCTTTTTTTTTTTTTCCCCAGAAAACTGGGCATCGTCAGAGAACTTTAGATTCAGATTTACTTTTTTTTTCCACAGTGACAGATGTCAGCTTGGGTGTGATTCTGTGTGAGACCTCATTTCTTTCAATCAGGTTTGGGTTGATTTATTTTTCTGGGAACTTAACTCCTAACTTTTTTTTATCTACAAGTAATATTTTTCATTGTAATTGAGTATTAAATATTCTTGTTCTAGTTATAGGAGAACACAGGTTCAGATAATGGGAGTTTACAAGGAACAGTATTTCAAAACAAATGTTTTTGTTGTGAAATTTCACTTCTCAGGGTACATCTGTGTTTATCTCCTTTTTTTTCTTAGAGATCCTTCTTGTTTGTTTTTCACTGTAAATAGAATGGGATGCGGATGAAGTGATAGCCATTGTGCCTTCAAACTGGTAAACTTGGTGAATAATACAGTTTCGCTTCTACAGCATCAGTAAATCAAATAAGTATTTTTGTAATCATATATGCGTAAAGGATTTCATTCTCTATTGCTTTTTAGGTAGTATAAGGGAGGTTTAAACTGATTTTTTGTTCATACTGAAGGATTTTCTTTTCTTATATTGTGCCTTCTGTTTGAAATTGTTTTTGTCAGGAATTCTCTATTGTCACTTCAAAAATAAATTGAAGTCTACTTTTTGTTTGCGCTGTTAAACCTTGGCTATTGCTAACACATAATTAATTCAAATAGCTGAGAAATAATTGGGAAAGACTTTCATCTATAGTTATAGACTTTAACCTTCAATCAGCAAGTAAGAAGCTCTTTTGGCTATGGCTTTATACGTCCAAGAAGTCTTCCAGCAAAGAGAGGATAGACCAGACTTGACGTTTCTGATATTTCCAGGATAAAGAAAACAACATGCTTTTAGACCTTCCTTATACGTCGCAAAGAAGTGAGAATAGATCACTGTCTTTTTAGTTTTACTATTTTGTACTTATGTGTGTATATCTGTCCATACATATGTATGTATAAATAATATATATGCACACATATGCTTGTGTGTATATCTGAAATTTTTTGTATATGTGTACATACTTACACATATATGTGTAAATCTCAAAGTTTTTCATGTAGGAATTACTTTAGTGAAGTGAATGTAATAGCAAAAGGTGTTTCATAGCAGATCTGTTTTCAGCTGTTGTTTTACTGTAGCTGGAGACTGAGTCCCTCGCCACTCGTGCAGCAGGAAAAGCCTGGGCAGGAGGTGTGCTGGATTTCCTGTGTCGCTTTGCCGAAGTGCCTTTTGGTTTGTCTGCGCGTGAAAGGTGTTACAGGGTATGGCAGAGTGTGAATGCAAAGTCCGATAACTACTGTGGACTGTCTCCGCGTGAAGCAGTCATGTGGAAGAAAATTTTTTTCTAGTTTCATTTAATCCAAAATGAATGATGCCGATTCCCCCATTGGAGAAATTTAATTATTCTGGAATTAAGTCATCATCTCCAATACTAGACTGTCCCTCAGTCATGTTATCTAAGTTCTGCTTTTATGGATCTTCTTTTTTTTTTTATACTGTCCTTTAATTTTGTCTTTTTGAAGCAGTGTAGAAGATGTGGTTTGGCAACAGATGCTAAAGAAACGTTGCTAACACATCCAAAAAAAAGAGGCTTGCTTCGAAGTGCTTCTGTTCTTAAACTAAAGGGAGGCTTCCATACTATCTGTATGAAATTGGTGTGGGACAATATGTAGGTAGAGATGTCATTCTTCTGGTCATTTTACAAATTGGTATGATAATTTAACTGTTTAAAGTGTCTCCACAACTCTTGAAGGCTTCAATTCAAGAGTGTACTTGTATTCCTAATTCTGAGCTGTCTGGCTAGATAACTCTAGAGAAATGGATGGGGTTTCTATTGTTTAAATTAAGCACAAGGAACGTTTTGCATAGGAGTTTGGACCCTATAATCCCTGTGTACTAGGAGGTCCAAATTTCAGACCAAAAAAAAAAAGGAAGACCCTTATATTTACTGCCTGATTCTTTCCTTGGAGCTCTCATGCCAGCTTTTCTGGATACAAAATGTCCAGTAATCATAGTACATAGTGAGTAGAATTCATCTCACTGAACATTAGCTCTCTGAAAGTTAGACATCTAGATTAAGGGAGGAATCTGGGAACCTCTAGAGAGCTATTAATCTCCTCCTAAGATAGATATTTAAGGAAAGTAGAATGAATCATGTTTGGGAGAGCCTCTCTGGAGACTGTGGAAGCTGTGATTTAGCTCAGGTTAGACACTTGGCTTTAGGATACTAAACTGAGATTAGTTCTATCCAGCGCTGTACTACCTGTCTTGGAATAGCAAAAATCAAGACTGGAACAACATTCATCACCAAACCTCAAAACCCTCCAAAATCCATCCCAAAAGAAGCAAATTACAGGGATGCTGACAACTTGAAAAGTCAGTGTCTTAAATGCCAGGATCTACTTCTGCCCCTGAGTCCCTTGCCAATGCCTGTGGCATGTTGTTTGTTTGAGGTTTTTTGCTTTTTTTTGTTTGTTTGTTTGCTTTTCGTCTTTTGTTTGGTTTTTTTTGGTGGAAATCCCCTTACCCTGTTCTGAAATCTCATGTAACTACCTGGCTGTATGTATAGTTCTGTAAATGCATGAAATCAATGGACAAGCAAAATTAATGTATTGCAGCTATTTTGATAATCTTTCATATTGCTATAATTAAGACTATGACTAGTTTAACTGCTCTCCTGTCATCAGAAATGTTACCCCCTGTGCATTTGTAAAAATTGTATGTTTAGTCCTGGTTCTTACTGTGTGTAGTTAATTGCATCTTATGGGCTATATTTCCCACATTACATCTGCAAGACTACTAAATTTACAAAAACTAGATTAAATGTAGCATTTTATTACATGGAGTATGGGAGTGACTTTATATATTGATTTATATGTTCATTATTACTCTTTTGCAATGATTCCAGAAGTTGTACGTTTTGAAATTACTAGGCTAAGAGTTCCTGGTTTAATGCATCTGTATATGCTGTGTTAGACACAGTCAGCATTTTTCCCAAATGAGGGCATTTGTCCTTCACTGAAATAGTGATTTCTGTGATTTTAGATTTCTGACTTGATAATGAAATCCTAGAAGGGCTCTTTATTAAATATTACCAGGCATGGGACAGGTTCTGATAACTGACTTGAGGAAGGGCTGAGGCATGAGTCTTCTGTGTTGCAGATCCTTGTGATTGTAAAAGATGATTGTCAAAGGGCCTCGGCAAGAGGTGGCTCTTTTTAAGAAGATTCAGCCTTAGTGATAGCAGGCAGTGGTGAGATTTTCCTTTTTAGCTAATGGACTAAGTACTGTTATTTTAGTTTGAGTAGCTCTAGTTTCTCCCTGTCTTGTTTTCATTT